TGCATCCAATGCTTTCTTTTATGTCTCTGGCCTCATGCATAATAAAGTAAAATTTATGGCGCTTTTTAGCGCATTTTCTCATCTATGGAAAAAAATGCACTATTGTGCTCGCCACATGCTGTCTCTTATACACATCTAGATGTGTATAAGAGACAGGTTNCCTGGGACCAGAACGTCTCAACAAGCTCGGTGATGTAACCCTGTAGGCGGAGAGGTTTCAACTAGTATATCTGACTCCGCTCAACATTTCATCTCTGGTTTGATTTAGCCATGGGGTGAAGGAAAATGAAACACGGAGCGTGACTGACAAGAAAATATAAACACAAAAGAAATGAAGCATACAAAAGTAAACAAAGAAAAGGGAAAGGTGGGTGCATAAGTGACAGACTTTAGTGTCTTGCCCAAATCAAGAACCCTGAAATAACACAAGAAATTAGCGTGTATAAAAAAGGGTAAATTGAAGAACCTTGAAAAAACATTATTAGCGCAATCGTCATAAACAAATATAGTACTCATTGACTGATTGATTAGCATTTAAAGGCAGAGTAAGATTAAATAACATTAACAGAACAATTCAAGTATCAAAAATATTAATTGATTAAGCAAGAGGCATATATTATATATCCATCAGACTTTGGTTAATCACAGATGAGGCTTTGATGGTCATCAGCCAAACTAATGCATGTCTCAAACCAACCATCGTTAACCAGAACAAGTGGCGACAGGGGAACTCACCAGGTCAACCACTGTGCAAAGCTTCAGAATGCTAGTCGGCCATTAGAACAACACAATGCAAGTTCTCTAACTGTAAAAACACCAGGGAGAAAAAGACAAGACATTGGTTATTGAATAAAGAAAACACAAAAAATAAATGCAAAGAAATTGACAAGTTATTACTGAGATAGGGCTAGCTGAAGCCTAAAGGAATTGCATAAATCTTTATTGGCTGAACCAGCAGCATTAAAACATCGGTTAAGACCGTTCACTTGAACTAGTTTATTCTTTCTCTATTAAAACGCTAAAGCTTAAAAAGAGTATCACTACATTATAAACTAAACTTGGACTACTAGCAAGCGATAAACACCATGAGGGCCAGCACCTACAACCCCTTTTGAACCGATTGAAGTAATATTATTCTCATGTTAACCCCCCCTTAAGTTGTTCTCGCTTCTTTAAAATCCCCAATTTAATCAGGCCTAGTTTGGTAGATACTGCCAAATTTTGGACTTTTAGATTTAAAGTCATTTAAAGATCAATCTGTGGTATTGTGGACAATTTTCAAAAACTTTTAGGTAAAAACAATCATTTGTTTAAATCACAGTCTAAAATGTGCCGTTTTTTATTCTAGGAGAGAAAACTTGGCTAAATTCATTAAAATACAAAATTTTCTGCCAGGCATTTTTGTCTTTAACTCTCATTTACAGGCAACTTTTGTCAAGTTTTCCAGTTTGGTTTAATGAATTTATGTTGGCAAGCATCGCGGAATTCTAGGAACGCAGGAGGGAATTCTAAAATTGACGGTTCATATATTATTCCTGATACACCTAGACCACTTTTTCAATCCGTTATTTGAGGAAAAAAATGAACTTCTTAAAGGCCTAAAACACGTATGGATGTGCTAAGTTTCTTAGTTTCTACTTTCTATAAAGTAATCACTTCAAAATTGCATCCCTGCAGCTTTCACTCAACAATTAAAGTTATAAAAAGTATTAGTTAGTTAAAGATTTGTCTCTTAAGTTGACTGCAATGAACTAAACTTCATAAATTAATTACAATTTACAACTACTGTGATTATGCTGTCATGCCTGCCAAGAAGACTTCTCCATGATGCACACCAAACACATGATTCAGAGGGAGACCACATATCACAACAATAGCTGGCATGCAACTGACAATCGCAGCCCGGTGCATAACATTCATATGCTCAGGGGAGGAAAACATTTACTCTGTGAGCTGTGACTGGATTTTTTGAGCTGCGAACTAATGAATTTTTGAGCCTTAAGCCAATTTCTCAAGCTGTGAAAAGCCATTCTTGAACCGCAAACTCTTGGCAGCGATGGCATGCGCACAGATCACTAATAACAATAAGCTCAAATTTTGCCCTAGAAATAGCAGTTAAACATTATTCCCTAATTCACATGCAGTTTAGCTTATGCTAATGCCTACCTTACATTATTGCAAAAATAAAACATGGTTTTATAAGAGTCTGAGAGGAGAGTTCAAGATCTTAATCATTGACATAACGTTCTTGCTGCTGTCACATTTTAATATATATGAGTATGACGGGAGTGTAGTACTAAACTGCGAACTTAAATATTCATGGAATAATAAATTCTATGATAAAGAAAAAAAAAGTCAAACCTACAAAGTTTGGGAAACGCATGTTAAGATGTTGTTCACCAACCAGTGAACAAAAAAAAAATGGTTCACCTGTAATGAAATTTAAGCTCGAACAGAATAACTTGAAAAGGCTGCCTTATAGCAATGACTAATATGATTTAAGAAAAAAAAACTCTTAACATGATGACTCTTTTACAAGCAATTTAAGACATGTGTTGTCACTTGTGCGATTCTACTTTATGCTATACAGATAGTAAAAATGTTGTACTTTGTGCCACTATTTTTTGTTTTGCAATATTTTGATTAGTTTAGCTGAAACAACCTCTCTATGAAATGTGGGACAACTGTCCCTGTTTACCCCGCCTGTCCTTTATTACCCTGCTTGACAGTAAACCGGTAGAAATTTGGAAAGCAATATTTAGGTTGTTTCAAAACAAGTATAAACTTGAAAAGCTGTATTTGTATCCATAATGATATGGTGTTGTGGTCAATGGCCCAGGAGAGCCTAAAACGCAGTTCAAGTTAAATGACGTTACTGGTGAGCATTGGTGACATTGATAATGTCTTTGGTGAGGTCATCAAGAAACTTGATGCATGTGCAACCAAGAGACTTGGTGTTGCAGTATAATTGTTGTACATTTGTTTTTTTGCATGCTTGGTGTGGCATCAAATCTCAGGCAACCTCATGGGCCTTGAAACTACATATTGGCGATATATTTGCTACAGTCTGCACCCTGGGCAAGAGTCCCATTCATGAATGGGACTAAAATGCCTGTGCTTGTGTGGTCAATTTGAAACAATTTTATGGCTTTGCCTAGTTTCTTTCAGAAAAATAATAATTAAGCATTATTTGCTGGCATTTTAAAAATTGCCTGTATAACAGTAGTTTTTATCAATTGTAATGTGTATAAATGTGTGTGGCTCTCATCAGGCATTGCCTAAATTGACTGTAAATAATGATCTATGAAGAAGCGTAAGTTAAGCTGTCCTCTGCCTTGAATGTAGGTACCATACTTTACAGTCTAGCTTAGTCTGGAATACAATTAAAACTGGGCAACTTGGACCATTGCTATAGTGATTTGGACTATTTTTAACACGTTTTTCTTAGCTTAGCTTTGCGTTTGTTTGTTGTTAACATTGACAGCGAAAATTAGCCCACTTCTGATTGCTCTAGAGATCTGAAATTCGGCATGCAGGCTATGTTCGCCTAACAATTTCAGATACAATCATAAAAACTAGCAATTAGAGACCTAAATTAGCTTAATTGAGTAAAGTATATATAAATAGTATATAGTATGACGTGCGGGCGCTGATGTTATAGACGAGCAGGCGCTTACGCTGCGCATCATCGATACGTACGTCAAGGCAAGTTAATTGGCTCGCAACAACGTTTTTCATGTGTAGCAACGGACTAAAAAGGAGAAAATAAAATATAAAAAAAACTTTTTAAAACACGTTTTTCTTGTGGACTAAAAAGTAGAAAATAAATTGTGGCTCGCCCCAAAAAACCTGGGTCGTGCTGTATGTTCACCATCAAATTTCCAAAATTCGTGTGTTGTGTGCTTTTCGCTTTAATCATAAATCTGCCCGACACACGTTTTTTGGGGCAAGCCACAATTTATTTTCTACTTTTTAGTCCACAAGAAAAACGTGTTTTAAAAAGTTTTTTTAATATTTTATTTTAATGCTGTTACTTTTTGTGGTAGAAATAGTCACATAGTAAATTATAAAATATATCTCTTCATTGCATTTGTGGGTTATCTCCTGTTATTTCAAGCACCATCAACACAGTTTTTTAAGGCAAGAACTTTTTGAGTTGAGTGTTTTCATTCTTTAAATGTCAAAACATTCCAAGTCGCCCCATTTTATGCTATACCAGTCTCTCCAGAGCTGGAAAACTGGAATGAAGCCATCAGTTAATGAGATAAAAATGTCCTAACAGGGGTGGAATAGGTATATCTACTTTGCCACCCAATGACTGGAGCAGGAGAGCCTTCCTAAAATTTGTGAACTTTGGTGTAGTAAGTTTCCTGACTTCCTATTAAATGAATTGTCTTGCATTTAATAGGTAATTATTGAAAGTGCACAACCTAGCTGCAGGATTCTGAATTCATTGAAAATGTCATTTGAAGCCACAAGATTTTAGTAAAAAACAGAAAGTTTCCAATGCTGTGCCTGCAGATAATTTTGCGCATTCCTACAAACCCAATCTGGAATATTGACCAGAATTGTACTGAAATCATAGGTAAAAATATTTTTTATAAGTAATTTGTTAAATTATTTCCAAAAATGGGTCATTTTTCTTAAAGTCCAATGATAAAAGTGCCAATTGATGGGTGAAAAGTCACAATATTTTTGCTCATTCATAAGTGGCTTCTGCCAATTTTCCAGTTAGGTTGTAAACTAGAAAAGTGAGTAGAAGCACCCCATAAATGGTACAAAAACATTCATGGTGCAAAACATTCACGCAAATTTTGCAAATTTTTATTTGCCTAATTTTTTTGATAAAAATATAGAAAAATTTTGTTTTGCCTTCAATTTAAAAAAAATCATCCTGCAGAGTGTTTGTTTTTACCTTCATTTTTGGAAAAGTTTGACTAATAATTTAAATTATATTATTATTTGAAATAATAAATAACCCTTTTATCTTTTATCTGCAGAGTGGCATGTATGATGGTGAGAATGGTGAGGCGTTACCTTCCCCATGCATTGGGGGTGATGGTGGTGCTGCTCACCATCATGCTTCTCTCCCCATCACCCTCATGCATCACATCACCTGAAGCTGCAATGCTGCATGATGATTCCCATTCTCCAAATCTTGTGCAGGTATGTTTGAAGAGATGAAACTTGGTCATTTAGCTTTTGTTTCTTATCTTCCTGTGACTTGTAGAAGTCTTCACCATGTAATCTAAAATCCAGTTATATAATTATGTTTATTGGTAAAAATCATATAAATTTATATTTTTCCTTCACTAAAAGTTTATAGGTCTGTTCCACAGGATGGCCTGCATTTTAAAATGCTATCAAATTATAGTTTGTCAACAGTAGAAAGATTAAAATACTTTGTTTAATTCAGATAATATGAATATTTGAACATCAATGTTAACTTAATTGCAATAATTTTCAGCACGTTTAGGTATAAAATGTTTGTGTTTAAATCATGTATATTGTAGATCAAGTAATGGTATTAGCCATTATTGTCCTCCTCTGAAGGTATTGCCCATTATTTACTTTTCTCCATGTCCCTAAAGATTGTTTTTCATTATTGTTAGATATTTCATTTTATGTTCCATGTAAGATGGTGGGAATCTCCTATATAGGGTTCCTTCCTCAATTATATCTCAGAAGAAGAAGTTGAGGTTTCTCAGATCTAATTTATCAAGCCCAATATGTATGGTATTTATTTATATAATTACAAGACAGCACCTAATTCATTTGTGTTGAAAATTTACCTGTAAATGCCCTACCTTGCCCCTGTTTTAAAGGCTGCCTATCTCTTCTTGATAATATTTTTGCTTTAATGATTTCACAAATTTCAGGTCACGAAGTGCAATTTTGTCTAATATTTCTATACTTTTTATTCTTTCCTTGTGTCAGATAACAAGAAAAAACACTGATATGCTCACCATATGGTCAGGTATGGTGTGAGAAGATGGTGGTGTTACATGTAGCTTAATATGCTCACCATATGGTCAGGTATGGTGTGAGAAGATGGTGGTGTTACAGGTAGATTAGTATGCTCACCATATGGTCAGGTATGACTGGTCGTCAATAGAGAAGATGTTATAGGTAGCTTGTTTGAAAAATATGTTAGGTCGCTTAGTGTACCTGATGGTTTAATTATGGGTTCCACCTTCCCCATAAGCTTCACAAAAAACATTTTTACCAGACATCTGGTTCATCTACCGGTCCCTAATTCAAATATTGTTTCTTTTACAAATATTTATACATTTGAAACAGTATTGCTGAATCAATATTTTTTTTATAATCGAATTATTTTATCATATAGAATAATTTATATACTCACTCCCGTCTATTGAGAGCAATTATCTACCTTGATTCTCCACGGCAGATGCGGCATTTCAACATTTGATTGAATATTACTTCTCTTTCTCGATTGAATTATTTTATCATGGAGAATAATTAATGTACTCTCTACCGTCTAATGGAAGCCATTATCTAACATGATACCCTGTTCCAGGTGCGGTGAAGAGACTCGTGTAGTGCCGCGCATCCTTCAGATGAGGCAGCAGTGGAAGAGAAGCGCCAAGGAGAGCATGCGGCTCAAGGAGGCTGGCGTCACTGACAAGGTGGGGAGCTTGCATCCAATGCTTTCTTTTATGTCTCTGGCCTCATGCATAATAAAGTAAAATTTATGGCGCTTTTTAGCGCATTTTCTCATCTATGGAAAAAAATGCACTATTGTGCTCGCCACATGTGCTCGCCATAAGAATTTATGGCGCTTTTTTGATGTTATCACAGTTTTATTTGACAAATTTGATGAAAGTTTTTGCTCAGTTCTTTTTGTTAGACTTATTTCATTGCTAGAATAAGGTCTCTGAATCGTGGCATACAAGTTATTACAGGCAGAATTTGGAGTTATTTTATTATCAACTTCAATTTTCAGAATCTATTCTTAGTTTTTAGCTAATCCTACACTAATCATCACCCAGTTTTAATGATGTTTCATATCAGTCATGTTGGTCACCGTGTTGTTTACTGAATCTCTCTCTTAGTTTCTAGCTAATCTTACACTAATCATCACCCAATTTTAATGATGTTTCATATCAGTCATGTTTGTCACCGTGTTGTTTACTGCTGCAGGTTCTAGACGAGGCGATCTCGTCGTTCATCCTGCAGGTGGTGGTAGGTCACGGCGTGCCCTCAACACGTCTCTGCAACAAGGATCCCTTCACTCTCAAGAGCGCTGGCTATCTCTCCCAACTCTTTCCTAATGCAAAGTTCATATTCATGATCAGAGACGGCAGAGCTACGGTACATTCCATCATATCTCGTAAGGTCAGTTCACAGAAAAAGTTCATCTTAATATGATTGAGATGACCACACAAATATTGGATTTTTAGTTATTTTTATTTTTTATTTTTTTTTGTATTTGAAGCCATGTGCTCTGAATTTACAGGGTTCAATTTGAGCATATCCAAGTTATATAAAGGTACTTGTCTTGTATGGATATTACAAAGAAATTTTATTTTTGATAGTAGAGTCCTGCGACTTTGAGGAATTGAAAGAAGAGTATTATTTAAAAATTGAAGTGCAAATTTTTATTTGGCACATGTTATTATTATTGACGAACCAAAAGTTAGTTTAATTTTAATTTCAAATGAGGACTCAATCAAGAGTTTAGTTCTAAATATGTGGTTTTAATGGGTTTTTCTTTGATTCTGGTGCTTTAGTTTCGAAATTATTAAATTGGTTTTGGACGACATGATGGTAGATGAAGCTATTCTCAAATTGCAGGGATAATCTATCCTTGTAAAGGTCGGGGTAATTCGCAAACTCTAATATCTGAGTCTGGTTTCATTTGAAAATTTAGGCTTTAATTCATGGGCATTAAATGCAACGCTTGCAGTTTTCGGCGCCGTCATAACCCTTTTTAGCGCATTTTCTCATTTATGGAAAAAAGGCGCTATTGTGCTCGCCATGTCCGTCTGTCTGTCCGTCCGTCTGTCTGCCCGTCCGTAACTTCACGTTTTCGTTGACGAGAAAATGCGCTCTCTGTCACTCACTGCAGTGAGTACTGAGTTATATTTTTTTGTAGATAAGGATCATAGTATTCGATCTGTTCTACTGACAGTGTCTGCAACGATGGAACAGCGCTGTACAAACCATTTGTTTTGTTCGCAGGTAACGATCACAGGCTTCGATCTGTCCTCCTACAAACAGTGTCTGCAGCGATGGAACAGCGCCGTGCAGACCATGAACCAGCAGTGTGAGGAACTCGGCCCTGAGCGGTAAGCGAGCGTCTAAATTCTGTAAATCAGAGGTCAGCCTTTCATGTTCATTTCTAATTCGGTTTGCAGAACTTACTGTTAAAGTATAATCCAACTCCAACAAAATAATAATTAATCCAAATAACCAATCTCTATTCATGTCTCGCTTTGTTCTCGCTGGAAATTGTATATATTTTGGCAAGTCAAATACTTATCCCTGTATAAGCATGCCCGTTGTGTTATCTGCTCGTGTATTTCAAGCATCTATAGAAAAGAGCCATTGTGTTTTCTGATGGTAAATTCTGTACATGCTGTCAAAGAGAACCTTTTTGTTTTACCTTTAGTAAAAAATTAACATGTGTGTGAACTACTCCCTAAAGTATTGGTTGTATGGCAGATGCCTGGCAGTGCACTACGAGCAGCTAGTGCTGCACCCGCGCTCTACGATGGAGGCGGTGCTGGAGTTCTTCGACCTGCCCTGGGACGAGAACGTCATGCACCACGAGGAGCACATCAACAAGCCTGGAGGGGTCAGCCTCAGCAAGTGCGTAATCAAATCAATCACAAATTCACAAATTAATCAAAGACTCGAAGAATTATGCAGTAATGATTGCGAACGCGAGAAGCCTTGTTATCTGCTCAGAGAAAGTGATGTGTATCAATTTTGTACAGAGAGATTCTCAGCAAGTGCCATTGTTTAATAGATTTTGTTGCATATTGCTAGTCTAATTGTAAACGGTATTTTCCGCACCTTGGAATAAAAGTCGCCTTCAATTTATTGGAACATTTTAGCTTTTGGATTTAACTCAATTTCAGCTTTCTTCTTAGCTCGATATTTTTGTTCTTCTTATTGCGTAATATTTTTGTCCTACTCTAATCATTGTCTTAGTCTATCTCTATGGACATCATAGCCAATTTCTTTTGTTCCTGTAGAATATTTCTCTGAGAATCTGAGCTTGTGTTGTAATGTAACGTCTTTGCAGAGTGGAGCGCTCGAGTGACCAGGTAGTGAAGCCCGTGAACCTGGACGGTCTGACCAAGTGGGTTGGCCAGATCCCCGAGGACGTCATCAGCGAGATGGCCTCCATAGCCCCCATGCTGGCCACTCTGGGGTACGACCCCTACGCCAACCCCCCTAACTACGGCAAGGCAGACTCATTAGTGAGCAACAACACGCGTAAAATACAGCGCGACTCTTCCTACTGGCAGAGCAAAGCGGAACAGGTCCTCTCTGCCGGCAAGTCTGGCCGGTAGTGCATTATTTCACGTAATTCTATCTAGCTTGTTCTAGTGGAAACTGTTGATGCCCCAATACAGTGTTGCGGGCTAATTTGAGTGCAGGCAACTTCTGTGCTTTGACGAGTGTTGCGAGTTTTGGCTTGCGCTAAAAAATTGTTAAGGGTTATGTCAACAGTTTGGACGAGCGACTGGAAATTTAAATAAACAGTTTTGAAAAGGCTCTATAAGCTGGATTTCTTATAATGAATATTGCGAAATATTTCTAGCCAGCATTGAGACCAGCATTGTAAAAACTTTTAATACAAAAATTTTATTTCGCATAGCTTTTAATGAGAAATTATATGGAATAGTGTTATCAAAGTGAATCTTAAAAACTTCTACCGTCGTCTGCTTTTTTCAGTCAGGTTTTCAATCTGACTGTAAGTGTATCTATTTAAGTGTAAAAAACATTGCTGTTTTTTTTATCTTATGCCAAGACGAAAAAATGCTAAGCATTTTTGCTCATGGAAGCGTGCGGTGCTTCCCTTAAACTTGCGAGTTGGTTGCATTATTATGGCTCTGTGACCGCATCAACTTTATGATCTGAAAACGCGAACCCAGCGCTGATACGTTAACTTTTTGCCATCTTCATTATGGAAAATATTATTAGACCTTGCGACCTTGTGATGAGTTTAGGACGTCGTGGTCCACGGTCACGCTGATGCGCCGCCTTCGTCGTCCTCTGTCTCCGAGTCGTCGTCGGATGTAAAGTTGGTCGACGCTTTCCAATCAGCTCTTTCCAATCAGCTCTTACTTCTGCGGTTGATGTTCAATTATTAACAGAAAATCTAAGCGATTTTCTTGTGCTGCTGACTAGATAAATATTAAGCGCTTGCAATGTAAATTTTTCCCGCATGATATTATGTATTTGATCTGGTAAATGAAAGTTGCAACTCCCATGACGATGTGGTATATATATACAGTTGTGTAATCTCATTTGATTATGCAGTTTCGTTCCTCAACTGCGCATCTTTATTATTTTATGATGTCATTGCAGTCTATTGAATACATAATAGTTTTTAAACAATGAATGTTTGTGTCTATAGATTTGCACTAAAAAGTAACATCTTTTGTGCACATGTGCGAAAAGTAACATCTTTCGTACTGGAAATATTGTGGGTTCGACCGGTTTTCAATCTTTATAACTATCTTTAATTTGATTCTGTATTCAGCTTCAAATATCGTCAAACATTTTAATTTGAATACATTTCGTAAGTTGCTGGCAAATCAAACCCTGCATGGAGACAAGAGAATTTTTATTTATTTCTGCAACATTTTTGATGTGATCTGTAATTTTTCCATATCATTTAGGCCTTTAATGGCTTTAGTACGGAGAAAATGCTTTGGATATCCGCTTTATTGGATATGCCATATGGATATCCACTTTATATAGTACGGTTTGCCGTGAGCCTAACAGTGGCTAGTCCAAGCTCTACTTTAACTTGTGACAGGAGCACTATCTTGTATTCACTGAATGATCATGTATTACATACATGATATTATAATTGTAGCTCATGGTCTATGGTTAGGGTTCATTTTTTGTACGTGAATGGTAACCATATAACTATCGATTACAGAATTGTTAATTTGTACAGAAAATTAGAAACTCTCCAACCAACATCGCTGACGACACAACTCATCAGTCTGTATTTGTAATACGTATTTTCGCTCTCAGAATTGATAATGTTCTTCTTAAAAATGTAATCAATATGTACGCGATGTGCGCCTGAAGACACATTATTTCTTTTGCTTTGGGTGCAAACAAACCGGGCCCCTTTTTGGGTCCTGTAATAAACCGGGCCCCTTTTTGGGTCCTGTAATAAACCGGGCCCCTTTTTGGGTCCTGTAATAAACCGGGCCACTTTTTGGGTCCTGTAATAAACCGGGCCACTTTTTGGGTTCTGAGAGGATCTGAACTTGATTAAGCTCTATTTTTCTCGTATAGTTTAGAATAGTTTAAGCTGTCCTGTTCTACTCGCATTGTAACGGTGATAATTGTTCGAATATTCACTTCGACGAGATTAAAGATAAATGTATTGTATTTTGCATGAAAAATTTGTATACTAGTGAACATAGAATCTAAAATGTTTCTTCGCAAGAAATTCATTCATGAGGTTCGAAGGCAAATTTTGAGATAACCCAAGAATTTGGTGTAGGCTCATAACTGAAAGATGGTCTCGGGGCAGGTTTATTATAAACCTGCAAATTATACTGCAATGGCCATGCCATACCACGGCACATAATTTTAGGGTGGCCGCTCGCGAGAGGCTCTCAGTAACATTGATACACACACTCAAGCAGGGAACGTATAAGATTTATTGTGGAAATTATACGATTCTTCATATTGATGCCATTATTTTCCAGTAAGTTGTTGAATTTAACGTCATTATATTCCAGTAAGTTGTGGAATTTGACGACAATGTTTCAGTAAATTGTCTCTGATTTTATTTTTCTTTCTGTGCAATTGTTTTTTTTTTTTTGAAGCAGCTATGGTCTCTTGTATGATTTAATGCTCATATCACGGTGCCGTGATTTTTATTTGTTATTTTTCCCCAATGTAGTTGTATTTAAGACTAGCCTTCAAATGCATCTGTGACTCAGTCCTAGATTGAAGGTCTCGACACCTTTGGTCTGTACTCGTAATCAAAACTTATTTCAAAGCTTAGCTCTATTTTCAGTGTTTTGTAAAGTGCTCATTTCAAAGAAAGTATTATGTTTCATTGCTGGGCATCTTTTTTTTACTTCAGTCGGGTTTTTAAGTTAAGTTCTTAAGCATGAATCTGATTTTTATATAGGAATGATAATTTGAAAGCCATAGAATAATGTGAAGAAACGATTTGTAGCGAGTAACTTCCTGTACGCAATGATCACTCTTCATTACTTAGTATAACGGAAGCACATTTTTACGTACATGTTATGCGTGGAGTTCCAGCACACACGTTTTTCTGCCATAAAGTGTTATCTGAATGACTTTGTTTAGTCTCTGCACCCAGCACTGAGCTGGGACTAATTGATGTCGATCAACAAATCGGAAAGCTTTATTCTGAACAACTCTCATATTTTGATCTGAAGAAAAGACTTTATAATAGTAATAATAGTGGTTTCAGCGTTCATTGGGCCGTAGGCTTGTCAAAAGACTTAACTTTACTCCTGTTGGTTGTTCATTCCAATGCTAATTACTCCGTTAGTGATGATGTTTATGGCTTTTCACTTGATTTGTCTCCTAGTTTATCAATAATAAATGTCTCTCAAATGCTCATCGGTGCCCGATTCCATTCATATGTTTTTAGAGATTTTATTGTATTGTTAAACGAGCTTGCTTGGGGGTTAATTTATGTGTGCCATAACACCATGTTTTGTATTGATTATTGTATGTCTATGGCAATAGCGCAATCCTAATGAAGAAGCAGCGTGAAATGTAATGTATTGCCTTGTAAAATTGAATTAAACAATTTCCTTTTCAGTTCCAGGGGGACTTTTCATCTAAATTGTTAACTCAGCGGGCAGTACAAGTTGAGCTTCTTGAGGTCGCTTTTGTGAGGATTATCTTTCTAATCACCGTAAATTGTGCCAACGGCAAATAAATTCGCGCTACGACCTTATAGTTATAATATTAATATTTTTAGAACTTAGCCCAATTCATTATTTGCCATGTGCAAATCTATGTTCATCATCCAACAGTCTTGTCCTTTAAAGTTATTGATTTTTGTGCGATTTATGATTATTCGTATTAATTTTATCAGTAATTGTTAATTATTTGAAATTTAATTCATAACAACTGAAGGCTTACTTGCAGCTGAGCACCTTTAATTTGTATAATCGCTGCGTTGATGGTTAGATTTTAACCGTGCAGCGTAAGGTTAAGATTTTCTTTGAGTTATACTCAGTGACTCGACACAGTCGTCGCCGTGCAGCAACGTTACTTATGCCGATCCTAGAACGTTGCTAACTTCTCAGCCTGACGTGTCGAGGGATTTGTCATATTTATTACTTAGTTCGCTTATTCTTTATGTTGAGGTTGAAAAAGTGTGTAAGTTGAGGTTGAAGTGTGTTCAAGGTGGCTCGATGAAGAGTGATTTTAGTGATTTGAAAGAATGTTACAGTGTGGTGAAAGAATCGTGTTTTATTGGAGTGAAAGAATCTTATTTTCATTGGGATAAAAGTAGCGTGTTCAAGGTTGAAGAAACCGAATTTTTCGTTTGTTCAGATTTTAGAGCAACTATCAAGTGATACATTGATTATACGTGTACGGCACGTTATCGTCTTATCAGTGTGTTCTAAGATGATTTCACTAAAATTTCTTATTACGTATATTTTCACCAGTATTTACATGGGAAAGTTGTAAGCTTGTAGCCTCATTTTCAAACACTCTAAAGTAATGCTTAATTAGATTGTGATTAACCGCAATCCATCTCAATTTCTATTGTATATTGGGCCGGGAGTTCTGTCGCCTGTCTTGTTTTGTCAGAAGTTCTGTAGGATTTGGCGATCAGTGGAGCGGTGTTTCTGAACGCCCCAGGCCAGAACCCGCAGTGCTTGACTTTCTGCTTTGGTGTTGTCATGTAGGCAAAATTCTCTGTATTTCTATTCTCTCTCTTCGTGCTGGCGGCCGATGACTCGTCAGACGCGTCGTATTAACGACTTCTTATATGCGAGTGCCTCAGTTTCTGTTTACTTGTTTCATATCTGCGAATACGAAACGCAAACGCATTTCCTCTCGTGACGGCTTCGTTGTGCTCGCCTCCAGCGGACGAGACCATTTCCCATGTATGATAGATGAATAATTTTGGATTTTGAATTGTTATGAGCAAGGAGCGTTTGGACCATTTTTACTAATAGCATTTTACTACCTGATAGCATTTTTTATTTATCAGTGAAACTCCACCATTTGCTTTTGGGACCAAGTTGGTGATATTATCCTATCTCTTGGTGATATCTTAATTGCGTTTCCGCCATTACCTATTGGTATGTGCACATTTTGTGAATTTCTCTATTTTCCCTGCGTTGGACTCGGCGAACAGTAATTTTAATCTACAAATCTCTTTCTTAGCATTATCTCAGAATCTCCTTCGGAGTCCCGCTATTTTACTCACTATCACAAAGACAAGGCAAATCTAAATTAGAACCTTGAATGTGAAGAGGAAACTTGTCTTAGTGCTTTTTGCATTTACTAGTTTGTATTACGTTCAATTTGATTTTATAATTGTGCGTTCCTTTGTTTTTTTTACATTTATAATTTCATCAATTAGTTTTTGTCTCGATCTTTTTTTTGCCATAGATTTCTTCGGAATTTACATCAGATGAGGATTAATCACTCACTTTATGTGTCTCGGTGTATTTAAATGAATTGTGTATGCGTACGGTAGTATCCGATGCCTCGGCAGAAACTGTAGCATTCAATATTTATTAAGTTTATTGTCGCCGTACTGATTTAAACTGTTTATTGCAAGAGTTGGAAAACGTCTTGGAATCCCAGTTACCTCCATACTTCCGACTCGGTATTCTATAGTTCTTGTATGGTCCGCTTTTATTGTGGCGCTCGAGACCTGATCGCCATCGAGCCGTAGTGTCAAAACTCGCTCATGTACACGCAGCGGCCTAAGTACACGCAGCGGCCTAAGTACACGCAGCGGCCTAAGTACACGCAGCGGCCTAAGTACAAATGTTTTTTTACGTTTATAATTTCATTAATTCGTCATAGTTTTGTATTTTTTGTCTCGATCTTTTTGTTGCCATAGATTTCTTCGGAATTTACATCCAACATCAGATGAGGAATAATCACTCACTTCATGTGTCTCGATTTATTAAAATGGATTGTGTTTTCGTAGTATCCGATGACTCGGCGGAAATAATAACATTCAATATTTATTAAGTTTATTATCGCCGTACTGATTTAATCTATTTATTGCAATAGTTGTAAAACGTCTTGGAATCCCAGTTACCTCCATACTGGCGACTCCGTATTCTATAATTCTTGTATGGTCCGTGTGGCGCTTGAGACTTGATCGCCATCGAGCCGTGCTGTCAAAAGTCGCTTATGTACATGTAGCGGTCTAAGTACACGTAGCGGCCTGAGTACACGCAGCGACCTAAGTACACGCAGCGACCTAAGTACACTCAGCGGTCTAAGTGCACGCAGCGACCTAAGTACACTCAGCGGTCTAAGTACACGCAGCGACCTAAGTACACTCAGCGACCTAAGTACACTCAGCGGTCTAAGTACACGCAGCGGTCTAAGTACACGCAGCGGCCTAAGTACACTCAGCGGTCTAAGTACACTCAGCGGTCTAAGTACACGCAGCGGCCTGAGTACACCCAGCGACCTAAGTACACTCAGCGGTCTAAGTACACTCAGCGGCCAATTTCGTGTCTATCATTAGTTTGTTTACCTTGAAAAACGGTCAGTTATTGGCTACGGAGTTACGAAATCATTACAATTTTTGATGGTACAGCTCCTCACACATAAGTTATGCCGCTGTATTGCTTGCGTCTGAATAATGATAGGTGAAAAATGTCGCTGTTCAGAGTGCGTTTTTTCGATAGAAGTTCTTCGTCAGAAATTCTTGGTAAAGCGAATTAAGAAGCTAGTATCCAGATAACGTCTTAAGGTTCTACTGGATTTGTTAATAATCTCATATTTATGTTATTTATTATTGTACTGCACTACAGAAAATTGTTCAAATTATGTTGTTACGTTGCTAGCAAAGTTACATTGTTGAATATTCCATGTCAAGATTCTGAGCCCTCCATAGGCTTTTTTAGAGCTTTGTAATAGTCTAAATTGACTCGCCGTTATTTTTCCATGTAGGTACACAAATGAATAGTTCGAAGCAATTCATTATTTTCAATTATTTTTTTTCTATTTTTTCTATTATTGAAATTTGCTCTCTAACACGCGTAGTCTGATTAGCGCTTCTCTGCGATATTTTGTTTCATTGCACTCAGGAAAATTAGAAAACTTTGTCTAAAAAGTGATGCACTTCTTGTCTCAATGTGTGGGCCATCCTGACCCAGTTTGGACCGGAAAAAGGACATCGGTGCTACATGTAGAAAGTGTGTCATTATTTGATCAATATAACCCTTACATTCTTCTGAGTGTACCTTGCTCTACGAAGCCCAGTTTTTTCGTCTGCTTTTTGAAACGCTTCTCACTCATGGCTTGCAACCAAACAAGCATTTTGCAGTCTGTGTTTGCTGTGAGGTTTCTTTTCCTCTTTTTTTCTTGTTCTTAGATACCACCGCTTTTATTTCTTCTGAAGGTTATGTCTTGATCGAATTTCCGAGGTCATTTAGTATAATATTAATCGATGTAATACGTGTGAAGCGCTTCACTACGTATCGCGTTAATTACTGAGGAATGATCTTGGGTGCTGCAATGAGTCGTAACTTTGGGACTTGATTTGATTCTTTAATTTGTGGGATAGTGTTGCAAGATGCGTTGCAGTTGACGGTTAGAACCTCATTATTTTAATATAATGAGTGATAAAATGTCACTTGAGTATAAAACTGAACTAGTTGAATGAAACAAATGTAGGGTATGAAAAGACTATTGTCTTCACTGGGTAATTGGCTTTTACGTTTTTGGTGATGTCATGCGACGTACTAGACGAGCGACATTTTATGCTTGCAAGCGCAGTTTATTCTCTCGTAGTTATCTTCATTAATGTTCTTTGAGAGTTTAATATATATTGTTAAGGATCCAGTAAGAATGTTTGTTGCCACTCAATGTAATTATTGTTTAAATTATAAAGTGTTCTGAAGAATAGTGTTAAAGAGATAAGATTTTTATAAACTTGCTTATTGACCTTTTCAATAGTGATGAACGTTTTGTTCGATTTTCAGCTTCCTGGGAAGAAGCTGCGACAAAACGATTGCTATTCATCAGGAAAATTCTCTGAAAAGTTTCGAAATAGGCTCAGGAATTTTGATAGAACTTCGGACAAATTGGGTGCAGTACAAACATGCCATCACTTGGACTAAATTTATCGGGATTGATTTCAGAATTTGTCAGTACGAATATTTTCCCTACGACGCCAGACAAATACTATGCATAGTTCGAAATTAAACCGTCCGGAGTTGATAACAATCTAAATTAGATGCATACAAATTTGGCAATAAAATTATTTCAATAAATCATGACACATTTATTTCAAGCACTAATAAATGACGCATCAATTCAAGGTAGGAATGCGATGAACTTGACAGCTTTTAGGACATTAGTGAACTTTTCACAGTAAATAGATCTTTTCTTCAAATGGGCATCGAAGCTTGGAAGAACTCACCTCGAAACTATGTTCTTACTTTCAAGCAATAAAATATTTAAAATATCTGAAGAAAAGCCACGACATTAGTATATGTAAGAGTAAATTTGCCGGTAATTTGCCAGTCTCGATCATCCGTGACTTCATTGTTATTATTAAACAATTAGTAATCTGAGAATTTTCATCCGACAGACTAAGCGACACCAAGCAATATTACATAACAAAAATTATTAGACATGTGAAAATATTATGAAGCTGGCATCGCAAACAACAGATTCAACAAGAAGAGGTCATTGAAAATGAAAGGATTCGATGTAGTTCAAAACTGCACCAAAAAAAATGCATGGGTCATGTTGCCCAAATAATGACAGGCTTTCTTACCCACACCAACAGTAGAGAGTAGACGTAGCACTGATACGTCGTCCCATTGCCGGGCCCAACTGGGTCAGGAAAGTCCATCGTTATTAGGACAATGTCACACTCATTTTTCTCAGAGTTCAGTCTTTTCACTTCAGTTAAGCACTTCACAGAAGCTGTTACAGCAGAGCGTTAACTAGCATTTGTTTAACTTCAACTAACAACGAGGGATCGTTCGGCTGAAGTTCACTTAAATGGAGTTTCTTTTTATTACTAACTTTCATAAAAATTTCATAAAATACACAACTTTCAACAGTATTTTTTAGCAAAATTCGGAAAATGTTACACAAAGGCAGGCATTAGAAAACGCTGTTAGTTCTTCATTCACTAAGAGAACATGAGAGCGGTTGACTAGGTTTGTTCGTAGGACGCCTTCCTGTCAATCACTTAAGATTTTTAATAAATTCTCCCACAATCTTGTGTTTCAACTGGAATTTACACCAGGAATCAACCATTTACACTAGAAATCAACCATCATAGACCACTCCTAATGCATTAAACTTTGTACATGGAAAGCTATTAAAGTTTGTAAAAAAACTTAAACCAAGTCACAGAAGCTGAAATAAAAATCGAGACACGAGCTAAGGGTCTCACTTATAAAATGTCTAGGCTGAATTATAGGGTAATTTGCTTAATTTTAACTAAGTAATTAGGTTAGAATTTCATATTTTTTCAACATAGTTTCCGGGCGCGAAGCCTTCCTTCCCTTTGTATCGACACGTCCACCATCCTGTGGGGTCTGTGAAAAAGAAAACTTTTATCAGATCCTTTTATTTCAGAGCAGACGAAGATAATTTAATATAATACGGATGAACACTTGATTTTCTTTAAAACTATTATGTGTTCATGGGTGAGCATTGATATCTTTTCATAAGTACATAGAATGCTGGTCAATAACAATAATTGTCAACAGCTAATAAATTATAGTACTAATTAATTATCGCATGAAGAACCTAATTAATGTACGAATAATTAATTTATTTTTTGCTTCGCCAATAAATCAGGAAATTATAGCAAAAAAGCGAACGAGTGTCTCGCTTTAATTTACTCTTGGATTCGATTAAAAGATTGACAGAAAAAATGTCGAGGATCTTTGCAATTTTTCAAAAGAAAAAACGAAAATGTAAAAGGGAAAAAATACGCACCTATTTTGACGAGGTCCAGCACATCGCCCGCCTTGAAGGAAAGCTCGTCCGTGTCTCGGGCGTCGTAGCTGAAACAGAGAATGAAATTGTACATAATTCAACTCTTAACTTATCAATAAATCGTAAGTTACGACATTCCTTATAAAAAAACTTAAACCAAGTCACAGTTTTGCATAAGTCACAGTTTTGCTAAAAAATACTGTTTGATGAAAATTCTATCAACATTTCCACAACCGCTGACATTACGTCGCGAATTTAAAATCAAACGCTGTAAGCAACTTTTTTCACATTTGGTAACACCTAAAATTTTTTACTTTTTAAAAAATTTCAAATGTTAAATAGATTTGTCTATACAATGTTTCAAACATTCATTTAGCATAATACTCTTAAGAAGAAAAGAGATGCAACTCAAAACTAAGTCTTCATGTTCTCACGTAATAAGAGCTTTAAACAATAGAAGTCAAATAACCGTTAAGAAAATTCAGGTAAAAATAACGTATTAACAACATATATAGAAATCTCATGTAAAAAATAACCAAAATCTTGTATAACCAATACAAGTCAAAGCCTCGTATAAAAATACCGGCCGAAGCAACTATTTAGTCAATTCAGGTCAAAATAACAACATATTAACAATATAATCTTAAGTCTCAAATAAACAATATAAATCAAAATCTCGTATAAACAATAGAAGTCAAAATAATTGAATAACAAGTACAAACAATCCCCAATGACTGCAACATCCCCACCAGACTACTCACTCGTACAGAGCCTTGACTTTGGGGATGACAGGCTTAGGTTTGAGAGGTTGGGCGGGGCGCGCCCTTGGGGCAATGGACGGTTGGTTTTCAGGGGCAGGACCTTCGGGAGGCGGGGGTCGGTTGCCGCCCGGTTGAGAACCACCACGGTTAGCCACGGGTGTTAGAGTCGGCATTCTAAAACCTCCGGCTGAGGCCTTTGCGGTACTTGTCTCCCGCTGACTAGAAACTTTAGACTGGTTACTCACAGAATTGTTATTGGGAACTTGTGGTTGGAACTTGTTGTTGTTAGTGCTGTATGTCGGCGCTTTGGAGTGAATGTTGTTGTTATTATTATTGGTTGTGGGCCTATTGTTGAACGAAGGAGGCTTGGAATGTACGGCATTAGAGTTATTGCTAACACGCGTATTGGGAACACTTCTTCGAGGCTGGCTTTCCCTAAAGCGCGCGGCGAGCACTCGTACTTCCGGGTCCACAAGAGCAACGGAAGGTTCTGCAAAATAAAAGCACAGTCAGCGGTTGCCTCAGACAAAGATCCTGTTAACGATTGCCTTCGTGAAAGATCCAATCAACGATTGCATCAAATATTTCTTCTACTGACGGAAACTCAGGTTACCAATCATTTAGATATGAATAGCGTTAACGACTACAATGTATCCGCATACAAATAATTCATTAAGCTCATCAGAATACAATAGCATTTAAATTAAATTGATTAATTTAAAGATATTTCTACTAGCACTTACTGGAGTTAGGGGGAAGGCCTTTGGCAATGGATACGGTAAGAGTGGACGTGGCCAGATTGCTCTTCAGTTCACACTGTTCGCCCGCACCGCTGTTGTTGAAGACAATTTTTCGGGTGCCTCCACCGCCCCAGCCTGTCTTGCGCACGTTGTAGCTCAGGCTGTTGATATCATACCGCAGATTTAATAACATAATACCGGAAGAATGTGCATCCCTACAAAAATGTGGAATGTTGTATTACTAAAACGACACAAAAGCATTCAAGAGTCGAGCAACACTTTCTTCAATTCAAACAACTTTGTTATATCCCAAAAAAATTTAATGTTTCAATATTCACAATCGAAGATTGTGAAAATTGATGTTATTCAAAGGTATACGGATTTCCCGCTACTCTTAGCGAGACCGCAAGAAGGACTGTTGTAGTAATAATCCACAGGCGATCGCAGTTTTGATGAACAACACCACTCAGAAATAAATCTACTGGCGGCTATAAAGGATTTGAAGAATGCTGGAAATAACTCCAGTTAGCCATAACAAGAAGAAAACATAACACACGCCATCTTCAATGCCCCCAAACCAGTCTGACATACACGAGTACAATATTGAATGACTACCGATATGTTTTCCTGCGGCTTATAACTGTTCACCTTGACTTTTCATTGAAAAATTGCCTGTTATTCTGTAGTTACTACGGGGAATGACCATTGCAAGACACCAGTGTCCGTTGTTCCGTTAATCCAAGCCTACACGGGGCGCACATGTGGAATTGGCATTGCATCGACCCTGAGCGACCGCTGATACGCAAACCGAGGCATTTGCGAGCTAACAGAGGAAGTCACAAGTTGACAAGGGTATGCGTCCAGTGAGATGCTGATTCTAGGTCCTCAGTATCAAAAAAGTGTAGCGGATGTTGTTGGTGTGCGTTGTTAGTGCCCATCCTGGTAGTGGCGACTAGGGAGGGAAGTGATGGGTTAGTTTTTCAGCCCTCAGGGCACTGGTAGTTCCACGACCATCACTAGCTCGCTGTCACGCCAGAATCATTTTGTTTGAATTGCTCAACACCCTAGAAAAGCCAGGTACTCAAGCCAGGATGAATGGCTGAGTTGGTCATGAGCGGAGCTTTCCGGAAAAACTTGTCCTAGTTGGACTCGAAACCCGGGAGATGGAAGCAAGGGACAGAGACTCGCACCACCGCAGCTCCTTTGGCCGATGTTAGCACGTCAAGGCTGACCTGTTGGAGAAGGAGACCCGGAGCTGGGAGTGGCCTAAGGCAGTCAGGGCGCGGGACAGCACCAGCAGCAGCTCGGTCTTGAGTGGCACCTGCAGCAGCGACGAGTAGTCGTCCGTGACATGCAGCAGCAGCAGGTCGTCCTGGCAGCAGGACAACTCGATCTGCACGAAATATGTACCTTCGTCACTGACACGTAACATTGTCACTCACAAGTGGCACGTAACATTGTCACTCACACGTAACATTGTCACTCACAAGTGACACGTAACATTGTCACTCACAAGTGACACGTAACATTGTCACTCACAAGTGACACGTAACATTGTCACTCACAAGTGACACGAACAAGTGACACGTGACGATGTCAATCGCAAATTACAAGTAGAGATAGTTGGACGTTATCAAGAGCTAGATTGACATCTTCCACTAAATATTTAAAAGTTCGTTCCTCCGTCAGCCAATCAGTGATGGCTTTTCAAGCAGAAGCCACCTATCACAGACGAGAAGCCGGCCGCTAGGTGCACTTAGGCCGCTACATGTACTTGGTCGCTAAATTTACTCGGGCCATTTTCGAAATTACGGCCCCAGGCCACCCACCTCAGTAATTTTCTGAAGAGGAATCTGTCGTTTGACGGCCTCGATGAACTGTCCCTTGTAGGGCCCGGCTTTGGCTTTCTCGCGCCCTATGAGCCACATGGTGTTCTCCGTGACGATCATGTCGCGCTTCTGCGCCCGGAACTTGCGGTCGAACTTGTCCACCGTCAACGAAAACAAAACCTGCAGCAGGAAGCACTTAAGTCATAAAAAAATATAACTCAGTACTCACTGCAGTGAGTGACAGAGAGAGCATTTCTCGTCGACGAAAACGTGAAGTCACGGACGGACAGACAGACGGACAGACAGATAGACAGACAGACGGACGGACATGACGAGCACAATAGGGCATTTTTTCCATAAATGAGAAAATGCGCTAAAAAGACAAAATCTACCACAGAAAGAACGTCAGTTTCTATTCATCGAGATTCACTACTTAATTTAGATTTGAAAACATACATTATCGTTGATGAATTTCAAAATAAATGGCTCGTGATATACTTGGTATCCATAGCCTGGACATTTTTGTGTACCTACCAAACATACATTTTGATTAGTTTAATATCAAGAACTTAAAACCACACTAAACTCCCACTCGGCCTCCCTCAGCTCCCCAACCCTGCCAGCCTCCCTCAGCTCCCCAACCCTGCCAGCCTCCCTCAATTGTGGAGGCCAGGCTTGAGCAGCACCCCCAGGTAGTCCCCGTAGTGGTTCCTGTTGAGGCTGCAGCGGCGCCGCTCCTTCTCCCCCTGCAGCATCGCCGCGGCCGCCTCCTTCTCGCACTGCTGCCGCTTCTTGCTGTATAATAACGCCGGATAACAAGGACGTATAATAATGCTGTATAATAATGCTGTATAATAATGCTGTATAACAATGCCGGATAAGAATGACGTATAATAATGCTGTATAACAATGACGTATAATAACGCCGTATAATAAGTAACACGAATTTTTATATATTTTTGTACCCTTATTCAGAATTAGTTTTCAAGCTTATTCGTAAGTCGTATTCGTAATTTCGTAATTCGTATTCGCAACACTGAGATGAGGGTTCGTAAGTCGTATTCGTAATTCGTATTCGTAACACTGAGATGAGGGTTACCTGAAATGTTTTTTGAAGGCAGCTTGGATGACGCGCGCGTAGTGGTCGAACTTTCGCTCCCGCGACTCCTCCAGCATATACAGCGACTCGGGGTCCTGGGGGCAATTGGTCATGGCATCAATAAAACTAATTCACTGTATCAATAAAACTAATTAATACAAGTAAAAACAAGATTGAATAACTCCAAATGCTTGATTTGTTATGTCTAGATGGTAAAACTATTGACGTATGGTAAAACTATGCATACTTGGACTCTGGTTAGATATTTAGGAGTCGGAAAGAGTGTTATAATATTGGCTATGGATCGCTTATGCGTTTGCCAACATTCGTCTACTGATACGTATAATAGATTATTTTGATTTAGATGTCGCATGATGCACATAATTCCGCTATTGGGCGCTACTTATACCTGAACGTTATTGGTACCTTTATATATTCATGAACGTTATTGGTACCTTTATATGGTATTCATGAACGTTATTGGTTCCTTTATATGGTATTCATGAACGTTATTGGTTCCTTTATATGGTATTCATGAACGTTATTGGTTCCTTTATATGGTATTCATGAACATTACTGGTACTTTTATATATTCATGAACGTTATTGGTACCTTTATGAAGAGCTTGGTCTTGCCGAGCTGGTACTGCGTGTGGTCCATGTTAACATGACGCATGATGATGGAGATGCCCTCGTGGGGGGCACCACCCCAGTGCGGCCACGTCTCCTTCGTCAGGATGGCGTAGCGCGCCAGGAACTTCTGGAAGGGGCGGCGGTAGGCGAACCCTGCGCGCTTAACTTTGATGTTCTCCTTCAGGCCGAGATATTCCACCTGCAGGGAACAATGAGCATTAAAATCCCTACACTTAACGTTGCAAAAAAATCCCTTAATTAGAAAAGAATATCGAATTTGATATCGTATCGAAGTGTACTATACAAACAAGTATGAAACTAAAATTTAATGAACGCATTAGTCAAGCGTCGATACTTTCAATTAAAATCAAAGCCATCAAGAGGCTTATAAATATTTTTTTCTATACGACGTTCCGGTAAAAAAAATCACCCAATTAGGTTACCACACAAGCAAGTATGAAAGTAAAATTTAATGAACGCCTCAGTCAAGCGTCAATGCTTTCAAATAAGCCAAAGCCATTAAACGGTCCATAAAATTTTTTATTTCTTGCCGACGTTCCGTTATCTATCACGGTGACATCTTGTGCGCTCATCAGGCACGGCTAATCGGCTTGATACGGCTGATGCCTAAAGTCATTAAAATCTTCATTAAGCGAGAGAAAATAGCCCCTATCTATATTTCTAGGACTACGGTCATACGGCCACTAAAGCGCAGTGGTAGTGACACGAGAAAAGAGGACTTAGCCGCGTGTTCAATCTTTTTCGAGCTTTGTCTCAAGAGGGCGGCGCTTGGTAGCCGTCGAGGGTGGTGCATCAGTACGGGCTTGGGTAATGCCCCAAAACGAACTCCGAGTGCGTGTTACCTAAGAGATTTTAAGGTCCTAACGCCAGCGATAACGCACCTGATGCCTGACTCTGTCGTGATCCCAGTCCCTGGGTTTCTTGGTCTCGTTGGGTTTGATGCATCGTATGTAGTGTGGCACACACTGCATGAGGGTGCCCACTAGGGCGTTGGCCTGCGTCTTGATCTTGCTGCCCACGGTGGTGGGGCGGCTGCGGCTCATCTCTGACACGTTCTCAGGGAACAGGCTTCGGATGAACGCGTTGCTGCTCGTCTGCATCGCCTGTGCATATAAATAAAAAATTAGATCAGTACTCACTGAAGTGAGTGACAAAGAGCGCATTTTCTCGTCCGTCCGTGACGTGAAGTCATGGACGGACAGACAAAACGCGCACAATAGCGCCTTTTTTCCATAAATGAGAAAATGCGTTAATTATACTTCAAAATCACTATGTAATTAGAACAACGGACAGCAGATATCAAAGTTTTTGTACAATTATTTCAATCCGGAAACAAACTATTTCAACAAAGAAATATTCCTAACGACGCATTGCTACTGGTCGCCAGATGAAATCAAAAATCTTCTTCAGCGCACATTTGATTTTTGCCGTTATTTCATTGCAAAGTAACGAAGATAATTCTCATCAAAAGTAATTTTACTTAATGGTCAAGCAACGAAGGAAATTTCCATCAAAGGTTACTTCGATCAATCAAGTAAAGCAGGTAATTCTCATTGAGTAATTCTCGTGTTCAATTAATACGTTTAAAACACAGGCAAGTCTCACCAAAAGTGACCTCGATAATGAGTAAAGCAGGTAATTTTCATTGAGTAATTCTCATATCTGATTAATACGTTTTAAACACAGACAAGTCTCATCAAAAGTGACCTCGATAATGAGAAAAGCAGGCAATTCTCATTGAGTAATTCTCGCATTTGATTAATACGTTAAAAAGGAAGCAAGTCTCATCAAAAGTGACCTCGATAATGTCGACGTTGAGAACATCTCTGTTCTTCTCACAGAATCCCTCGACGTGGTAGGACACAGAGCCCGCGTAGTGCTTGATGGTGAAGCCGTCCTTGAAGGCGGAGTAGTGAGGGTTCGTCCGCAACTGCGGGACACAATATATTGTTTATTGAACTACTGCTAGCATATTATTACTACACTGAAATGTTGCTAGATAATATATAGCGGTGCAGTGGAGGCATGTACTTAGCTGCGGGACACAAGATATTATTACTGGACTGAATACTTGCAATATTATTGATTCTGCTTAATTCTAGTAATATTAATACTCTGCTGAATATTAACAATTTCGTTATTCAGCTGAATTCTTGCTCGGAAATATTCAGGCAGATCCACACCGACAGCGAGATTTGGGTTTTTGGTTTGTATGTCGTATTACAGATAAAAGAATTTATTTTTGAATTATGGTATGTTAAGGGAGTTATTAAAATGTTTCACGTTAGCTTTCCATGCATCTTCAGAAATGACTGTGGCCCGCATTTGAAAAAATAGCGCTAGAAAATTGGTTTTCCATCATAAGACAAAGCAACACGAGATGAAACCTAAACGTAAATGAAGCTTGCACTTGCATGTAACTTGAACTAATTAACGGACAATTAATTGTCCGGACAATTAATTAACGGACAATTATTTGTTATATTTCCACCGACGACAATATATACAAAATAATGAATAATTATGACCTGTGAGTCCATCTTGTTCCTGAAGTCGCTATCGGCGCCCTGCGACACGGCGGACATGGTGGCGCACGTGTCGTCCAGGACACACATGATGCCCACGGGACGCTTGGCCTCGATCAGCTCACACACCACCGCGTTGTTGAAGTAGTCGATGGGCTTCCACGTGATGCCCTGCACAAGAGTATGTGTTGTTACAGTGTACAGCAGTGTGTACTGTTACAGTGTACAGCAGTGTGTACTGTTACAGTGTACAGCAGCGTGGACGGAGTATTATTTATTATTCAATTGACAATCATTAGTTATATTTCCCTCACTCCCCAACTAAGGAAACTAATTAAGGTTACAGTGTACAGCAGCGTGTACTGTAACAGTGTACAGCAACATGTGCGTTTAAAGTGTACAGCAGCGTGGACTGTTATAGAATACAGCAGCGTGTACTGTTACAGTGTACAGCAACATGTGATGCGTCTTGATCTTGCTGCCCACGGTGGTGGGGCGGCTGCGGCTCATCTCTGACACGTTCTCAGGGAACAGGCTTCGGATGAACGCGTTGCTGCTTGTCTGCATCGCCTGTGAATATAAATAAAAAATTAGATCAGTAGGTACTCACTGCAGTGAGTCACAGAGAGCACATTTTCTCGTCCGTCCGTGACGTGAAGTCACGGACGGACAGACAGACGGACGGACAGACAGACGCACGGACAGACGGACGGGCATGGCGAGCACAATAGTGCATTTTTTCCATAAATGAGAAAATGCGCTAATAATACTGATGAACACGTGGTTTTCTTTAAAACTATTATGAGTTCATAGGTGAGCATCGATATCTCATGATCAGTACATAGAATGCAGGTCAAATGCAATCATTTTACTCATAACGTCTTTCAAAAACAATATTTGACAACAACTAATAAATTATAGTACTAATTAACTACTGTACTAATTATCTTATGAACAACCTAATTAATGTACTAATAATTAAGTGATTTTTCGCTTTAGCAAATGGCAATAAATCGCGATATTTAGCAAAAAAAACGATCGAATATCTCGCTTCAATTTATTCTTGGCTTCGATTAAAAGATTGACAGGAAAAATTTCGAGGATTTTTACAGTTTTTTAAAGGAAAAACGACGAAAATGAAAGAAAGGGAAAAAACTAAAATGAAAAAAGGGGAAAAACGAAAATGAAAAAAGGGAAAAGTATTCACCTATTTTGACGAGGTCCAGTACATCGCCCGCCTTGAAGGAAAGCTCGTCCGTGTCTCGGGCGTCGTAGCTGAAACAGAGAATGAAATTGTATGTACTGTTACAGTGTACAGCAACATGTAAGGTTACAGTGTACAGCATAATAAACTTTCTCAGCAGTGATAAAATATAACTCAACCAATTGAATGAATCATCGCAGTTGAACCACTCATTCATGGCAGTGTAGTCAGTCCACGGCCAATATGCCATTAGTGGCAGAAAAGCTTCCCAGCGTAAAAGTAAAATAATATAGTTTCAAACGACTGCATTTGTAACCTCCTTGCTCGTCTCAAATTTTGGTATGTACTGCACCCTCACTCACCCCCAATGTTGGCACCCACACCCTCGCTCACCCCCAATGTTGGCACCCACACCCTCGCTCACCCCCAATGTTGGCACCAGCACCCTCACTCACCCCCAATGTTGGCACCCACAATTTCGCTCACTTCGATAGTATTTCCCACAATTTCGCTCACTTCGATAGTATTTCCACACAATTTCGCTCACTTCGATAGTATTTCCACACAATTTCGCTCACTTCGATAGTATTTCCACACAATTTCGCTCACCTCTGAGGCGTATTCCTCCTGCTCGCTCTTAAGCGTGAGCTCGATGAAGATCTGCTGCAGCTTCTCGTTGACGTAGTTGATGCAGAATTGTTCGAAGCCGTTGCGGTCGAAGATCTCAAAGCCATAGATGTCCAGGATGCCGATGTTCAGATCCTTCGCTTCCGTGGCCATGGCTTTGTTCACCACCTGAAAACATTACAGACATTTAAGTGTCTGGGTGGAAAATTGTAAAGATTGCTAAAAAAATTAAATATTTTTAATTGTAACGTAATACATATTTACAATCTTGATAATATTCATTAAGAAATGAATAGAAATTTGAATATTTTAGAATTATTTTCTTTATGTATTGACTAACGGCGACGATGAACTCGAAGAGTCTGGCATATAGCCCCTTGGCCCAGGCGTCCCTGGCGAACTGCGCCTTCTCCTGGTTAAACGTGACCTCGACACGCTCCGTCCTGCCGCCCCACACGCTGTCCATGTTGCGGCTGATGAGCTTCTGGCACAGCAGCCCTGCGTCGATGCCGAGCAGGTATGCCGGGAACTCCAGGTCTGGGGGGTGGTGTGGGTAATGGTCAGTGTGGTTAATGGTCAGCGTGGTTAATGAATGGTCAGTATGGCTAATGGAATGGTCAAAATAGTTAATAGAGCGGTCGGCATGGTTAATGCAATGGTCGAAATTGTTAATGGAGTGGTCAGCATGGCTAATGGAGTGGTCTCAGCAGACCAGCGTCGATGCCGAGCAGGTATGCGGGTAGCCCTAGTTTGCGGGGCGTCAGGTGGAGGACAGCCAGTGGGATGGGTAATGATAACTAATGATTTTGAATTAATAGATGAATTTACCTATTAAATGGATTAATAAATGCGTCAGCAAGGTAAGTAAGTTGATATATGGTTACTAGAGCGGTCAGCAAGTCGACTGTATCAGTGAAGTGGAGGTCTATATTGGTTAATCAAGTGTCTGTCAAGGAGGCAAGACATATTAAAGCTTCATTATACATTGTTAAATTAAATGTATATGTTGTAATGTTAATATTCAGTTAATGAAAAATTATAACGTTGTTTAATCTAATTGAACAGATCTGGAGGAATCTAGAAAAAATGCCCTTCAAGATCTTGAGTTGAAATGAAAAATTTTAAAGCCTTTCAACCTATTCACATCTAGGGTCTCTTTTAATTATCTTACATATCAATTAGTAGAGTCACTTCACTAACATTTCTTTGACTGAAACAGCCACAATCTAGGCTCTACATATGACCGAGATAATAAATAATTTACTATTTAGTAATTTGTGAGAATAATAATTGTTAACAATCTAGGTAGTAAATTTGACTGACATAATAAATAATTTACTATTTAGTAATTTATGAAAAAAATAATGATAATAATTGTCAACAATCTAAGTTGTAAATTTGACTGAGATAATAAATAATTTACTATTTATTAATTTATGATAATAATAATAGTTAATTGGGAACTCACAGTTAGGCTCCATGACCTGAGCGTTGTTGCCCTCCTCCACGAAGGATATGTTGCTCATGTGTAGGATGGCGGCCACCACGCGTAGGATGTCCATGCGCTGCTCAGGGTGCAGGCCCATCACCTCCATAGCTGGAAAAAAATTATATTACGTATAAAAAAGCTTTACATTACATCACATATAAAAAAACCTCGACATTAAATTATATACAGTGGGGGGAAATGAATATACGTACACTTGAAAAATCGTATTTTAATGTATGTAAGTACACAAACTTAACAGGAAAAGAAATTTAAATTATGTATAGAGACGCATAGTATTCAAAAATACTATGAAAAGAAATTAAATCTCAATGCAACAAAAAACAATGCAACATGTTCACTTTTCGGGTGAAAAAAGTATTCGTACAAAACAATAAATCCGCATTATTTTAATTTAATACTTGGTTGAATACC